GCGTATTTAAAAATGAGCCTAAATAGCCTGCGTCAATGTCAGCTTGCCCATGCATATCCTCTGAATTGACCGTTTTACTAGTTTTTCAGGAATGAAGAGCCTACACTTCGTCATACAGGTTTGCTTAGAAGCTTCTCTGTTCCTCAGGATAAACTTGGCAGTGTTTCACAAGCCCGCAGAGCTAGAAGCTCGTGTTTTGTCATTGCTACGGGAAGGCTGCCAGACACGCACGTGCGATTCCCAGTGCCCTCCTCAATGCAGTGTAAGCGTGGAGAGTTTGGCTGCGAGGGCTCTTCGCGTATCAGCTCTCGCTCACCGCTGAGCGGCGTTAAGCGATTGCTCTGGCCCCTTTGTTAAGCTCTGGGGGAAGAGAGCGACCGTTTGCTGTCAGAGGCTATGTGCATTTATAGGGTAACTTTTTCATATGCGGCGGTCAGAAGCAGTAGAGTCCTCCTCTGCTTTGGAGGAGAAGACGCCTCTCAGCAGCGTGTTGCCGCGTGTGTCATTTACAAACGTGGCACTGCAATTGCAGGCTGGAGGATGTGCTGGGCAGGATAACCAGCTCCCTAGCTACAAGGCAAGGAGAAAATTTTGTCCTTAATGTTATATAATGTAGACATACACCCTGCAAATGATGACCATCATCAAGGCAAGCTGCCCGTACAGTCCATCAAAAACCGCCAAGCTAATGATGGGCTGGGCAGATAATCGTGGGAGAGTTAATTGTAAGGTTCGATATGGCATCTTGTCAGCAGAGATAAGTTGTCACGTTTTCCACTTGAGCTGAAACTAAATGATTGTAAAATAAGTTATGAGTGTCCTTGGGCCTGTCTGCCAGAATGATGGCTAAGAATACATTCCTGGCCCATCAGTCTCAAGCAGCCTGCTTGATATTTATGCGAACTGAATGTTATTTTATTCCCCCTCTAGTCATGCTTGTCAGCTTCCCGAGTGAAAAGTGAAACTGCTGCTTTGACTCATACTTCAAGTATTGAAGCTCGGAGAGGCTGCAGATTGTTATTATTATTACTAGTATTATATATTTTTTGGGGTGTGCGTTGAACATTGATGCCCGATTGGGAAGAACTAATGGCTGACATTGAATGTACAGGATGGCTGCAAAACAGCCCATCCCCGGCCAGTGAAACGTGTCTTATGACTTCCAATGCCTCTGTCAAAGCTGGTTTAGATATGGAGTAATGAGGTGCTCACTTTTTTAACTTGGCGTGCCTTTTTCTTTTCTTTTCTTAATTTTTTTAAAATTGTATATATGTCTATATATATCTAATAGCGTCGGCAGTGGTCGTCTGTTCTCACGCGTGGTAATTGATACAAAATCAAATGCATTATTTGTATTCAGTCAGGAGGATGAAATTGCATTCAGTGGGCTGAAGCCTGAACTCATTTACAGTTTGCCGAAGCCGGGCTTTCAGGAGCCCTCTTTTCAATTTGAAGAATACCTTGTCAGGCGAGAGAAGTAGTCGGAAAGGGGAAAGCACAGCGTGTAAGCCTGGCACGTTTTGATTGCTCATATTTTAAATCGGGAGAACGTTAAATAACTTCCATCTTCAAAGGGTGGTCTCGGAAACAGGAATATAGGGCATTAATACACTAACAATATAAGCTCGGCATCCGTTTACCGGAGACTTGCATTGCTTTTCTGGTCGAAGGGGAGGGAATATCGCCGACTCCTCACTTCAGAGCAGTTTGACCCAAGGACGGCAGGTTATTACCAGAGAAGGGTTGTGAAGCAGGAGGATTTACCACAGTTGGGTGATGCTTCAGGTCTCCAGCACGAGTAGTTGAACTGCACATTTAGAAATCTCCTTATTTTTTCGGCGCTTAGAAACAGATTTTGTTTGCGTAATTGAAGCCCAGCAATGGGACTAAGCTGCAGGAAGCATACAGGTTTACGTTAGTATTTTCGACGAGAAAGGGTTTTAAAGAACGCTCCCTTTCACTTGTTACAGGGAAAGGTTGGAGCTGTAAGCAAAGTGGTTATTAAGGAGACTCAGTTTTTGGAGGGATCTGATCTTGGCTTGCAAAAAGCTCACAAACTTTGTGCTTATAGGATTCTTCTAAAAACCACGTGCTGCACGTTTGCGTCGCAGCGTGGTTTCTTCACCGTTTTACAGGTACTATTCAGCGCATCATGACTGACGCCCGTGTCTCCGGCTGGTGGTGAACGTGGCGCTTGTACTTCAGTCTTATAGTTGAGAGCACTTGCCCTTGCCTCTCTCGCGCGCAAGTATTTGGAAAAGGCATGGGGGGTGGTAGAGTTGGTTGTTCTTGGGGGTTTTTTTTCCCCTCCCTTAAGTAAAACAGGATAATTCTTCCTAAAGTAAAAGCTGAGAATTAGAGGTCTGTCCATGTGCTGTGTTCCTCACGTTCTCTGGGGGAAAAAGCGAAGCGTTTTGCGAAATTAGGCCATACGTGATTAAGCTGTCCTGACCGGTGCCTTCTCTGGGATTTGTCCATCATGTTTATGAATTGCTATGGACTGGTGTGCTTTTTGATTTAGCAAGGAAATGACTATCAACGCGACACACTTGTTACCCCACATCCTGACTGAGGTGCCCCTTGCAAAACCTAGCGCCCCTAGCAGGCACCTTTCTTGTAGTACCTGACTCTGCAACTTGCTTCTCTTAAAAGGAGAATTTTCATTTCTTTGCTCCAAAGTTAATTTTTTTTTCTTTTAAGTTCTTAATGTAGGAAACATTCCTAAGTCCCAAACCGGAGGAAAATATTCAGGCCAAGCAGTAATCAGCTTGCATTCTTGGTCATGCCTCCGTATTGCTGTTGTCCTCTTCTGCATCTTCTCTTTTTTTGGAGTCGGGGAGCAAAAGATAGCAACGGTCCTCCTGCCAAAGGACAGCTGAGTAGTGGTATGGCTTCTAGACAGGATTTACTTTCCCCTCCGTGTGGAGGGACAAAAAAGCTTTGCAGGATAACTGCTGTGAGTGCTTCTGGTTCAAGTACTTAGATCTCTTACATAGATAATACAGTAAATATGTCCTCATGCTTCCCTTTCTTTGTTACTGGGTTCGGAGCAGTGGACGCAGGGAAAAGACCCAAAATCCTTAATGTCAAGTTTATGTATAGAGTTTGATTTGGTCTTTGTTGCCGGGTATTCGGCTACGTAGGTTGTCCCTCACCATTAACTTGCAGCACAACCATACTTAGCGGACAGTTAGTAAGTAAACTTTATTAGAGAAAAACAGAATAAGTACTTTTTTTTTTTTTTAAATAGGCACCTGTGGGGGATTTAACTGCTAAAAATAATCCGAAGCTACTTTTTTTGAAATCAACTGATTTGGTATTTTGCAAACATAGGCTCTAAATTGATGAATTAATCTTAAGTGCAATCCTGGTTTGGTATCTAATAAAGAAGTTCTGGAAACAGTTTCCCTTTACCTAATCTACTTTGATGTTATGTTAAACTTAAAAAGGCTAGAAATGCATTTAGGACTAACTGTAGCCAGAAGATGGATTGAGATTAATCGAAAATTGTATTACCAACCTTGGGGGGAAAATGCTAGTTTAAGGTTACTTGATAATTTACTGTGTAAAAAGACCGAAATTGAGAATGCGATTTCAGAAGTACATCTACTTTCACTAAATTTTTGCTAAGTATCGCTATTAAATTTTTCTTGATTTAAAAAAAAAAAAAAAAAAAAGAGAGAGAGAGTGTGAGAGAGAGAAAAGCGAGCCAAAATAAAAGTTCTTGCAAAAGTTCAGGTTTATATTGTGGTTCATATTAAGATTTTAGGATGAAAGGATGTGCTCAGGATCATAGTTCTGATGTGTATCAGCTAATGTACTTTTCAAAAACTGCTTTCCAGTTTTGTCTATACAGTTCAGCAAAGAAACAAGTTTCGTTGATCATTTATTAAAAATACGTGATCTGTTTGAGTTCACCTCCTTTTTTTTTCGTGACTGATATCAAGTAAAGTGGCTGAGTGTGTCTTGATCTGTTGGGCCCTCTATCCTTGCTCCTGGAAGGGGGTCTCCCAGTGCAAATGCTTGTGTTATATCCCTTTTGATTTCATAGTGGGAGCTAACAGAAATTTGTGTCGGTCTGCATGCATGAGAAATACTTGCTCATTGGAAAGCAAGTTTGACGTGGGCCGTGTTGTGGTCCAAAATAGAAATCATTTTATTTTGACCTACTCAAAGAGAAGACATTTGCACTTTACCAGCCTCTGCATGGAACAGGGAATGGAAAATGGATCTCTTAGAGCAAGAGGAGGCATCTTAGACCTTTAATTTTGATTTGCTTGAGTGGGCTAATTAAAAATTACTCTGTCATTAGTTCTTAGAAATGTTGCATGTTGCACTACCATAGCTAATGCAGAGGGAAACTACGTAATGCGCTGAAGGTGGCGTGTTTTTCACTGGGTGCATACGCTAAGTGACCCATCATCACCCAGAGTATTAGTTGTATTGGGCGCACGTGAACTATGTGCATGAAAGGGAAAATTGTTTTCCCACCTTTATTGCCGTTACCGCCCTTTTTAATGTTTGCCTGTATCTGTAGTTTTAGCAGAAGTAGATAGCACTCAGTGGATGTTATGGTGGCTCTGTTCCATTATGTTTTAAAATGTCCTAGTGTTACATAGTGTTAATTTGAGGATCAGTAAGATCTTTGTAAGAAAGAGCAATTGGAAGTAATAAAGTGATTTCCCATTGTTTTCTGTCAGTTCCGGCTGGCCTGCTTCTAAAATTGATACAAAGAGTCCTGTTGATTTGAGAGGACTTGAATCCGAACTTGAGCCAAGTTTGCTTATTAGTACCTTTTTGAAAAAGTAATGGATATTTTTAGGAGGTTTTCCTGTAGCCATTGGAAGTCAATGAGCTCAAAAGGTTAGTTGCTAACAGACAATAAAAGGTATTATCTTGTCGATTTTGGCTGGATTCTAGCAATCATTAATTTAAATTATTGCATAATTTTATTCTTTCTTACTTTCCCCCCACCCCTTCCCTCTCTCTCCAAACTGCAGATACCGGGTTAGGAGAGTCTGTGTGTTCAAGCCCAAGTATATCCAGTACAACCAGCCCCAAACTTGATCCACCTCCTTCACCTCATGCCAACAGAAAGAAACATCGCAGGAAGAAAAGCACTAGTAATTTCAAAGCTGATGGTATCTCGGGCACAGCTGAAGGTAAGCTTACTTTATGGTGGAAGTCTGAATTTTGAAAATATTTTGTTCTGCTTCCAAAAAGCATTTCTGAGTACATCTCAGCCATGTCATTGGCTTTGCACAGAAAAGGTGGACAAAATTGTACTGAAGTGTAGAGGAATTAAAGGCTCTGATCTTTTCACGATGGAGCTGAGTGACCTGTGGCATCACATGATAGTGATTGCCACTGTCTTAAACATTTTTGAGACAACATTTTTCTTTTAGAGGTGTCCCCAAGCTAATATGGAGCATCATTAGTGGTAAAGGTAAGGTACAGGCATGCTTGTAAGGTTAAAAAGAAAAAAAAAAAAGGTCCAGGTCCACTCAGCCTGTACATCATGCTAGAATTTGTGTGTTTTTTTCAGTATTGTTAAACCTTGTGTTACCATTCTGTGCTCTAGAATCATCAATGCACTGATGCCTGTTATAGTTTGAATATTCAGCTACTCGTGGAAAGGTTGTGTTATTTGAGGATAAAAAGAAAAGGGGAGAGTTTAAATGTTTGGGTTCCTTTTTAAGAACCAGAAAGCAAAAGCCGAAAAGAACTTCTTTTTTCCCTTAGTTTGGCTGACTATTTCCAACGCGAACACTGCTATAGCTGTTCAATGCCCTTCTGAAGGGGTAACAATGTATACAGTAGCCAGATAGGATATAAAACATGCTTGTATCTTTAGAAAAGAAGAATAGAAACATTTTATGATTCAACCAAAAGAGCTCCAGAAAAAAAAAATGAACAAGGGTAGTTGGAAAGCTCAGAAACTGGGGAGTCAACATATAAGGAAAGATGAAAAAAGGAGACAATGGAATAACATTGTTGGAAAAGGGGAGTGTTAAGTAAGAAAAAGATGTGGTTGTAAGCATTGGAGAGTAAAAACAGCTAATTCAGTATCAAAGAGCTTTGGAACAAGTTCTGAAAAAAGGATGACAATTGCAGACAGCTGAAGAGACATTAAAAATAGATGTGATAATAGTATACAACTGAGAAGGGGCATGTTAACTACTACTTAGTCATCCTTATTTTCCATTTATTTAATTTCTCAATTGCACTTCTATCACATATGAAATTTATTTCCTCTGCTATCTATACAAATCTTTTTTTTTTTAAAAAAAAGCATTAGCTTTTTTTATAATAGCTCCTGTTGCGTTCTCTTTCCAGTCATTTAGCTATCTTTACTGTTAGTTCCCCCTAGTTTATGGCCTGCAGCCAAATTTTATTTTAACCTTTCGTTTTTAATTTGTCTTTTTTTTTTTCCCCAGTTCCCTTTACGCCTCTTATTTTCGTACCTCAACAGCAAGTTATAGAGAGGATTTTTCACAGCACTCACCATTGGCCCAAGACTGTTTTGTTGAAGTCGATATGAATCGAGACCAGCTGGATATTAAGAGCCTTTGAAAATCTCTTTCTAAGTAGTTAGTACATGTATGTTTTCTTTCGCCTGGTGAGATTATTTTCACAAGTCGCAGGAGTTGCAGTCTGTGTGGTCCTGGTCTGCAAGCACAGACTTTTGAACCACAGCAAGCAATCAGTGATTTGCAGTTGTTGTGCATCTTGCCTCTGAAATTCCTGTTTGGACGGGAGCGGGGGTACACGGCTCCATCCTCCTCCTCTGGTCTCTCTTGCTCTAGTCTTTGTGCGAGTCTGCCAGCCTCTTAACATGCTAGCCTGAAAGCCTTTTGCAATAACCTTTTGGTCCAAAACTCTCCCCCTTCTTGAAAAGTAAATAAAATATGCTTTCAGAAGGGTAAGAAATGACTGACAAGCAACACCAAGTGATGCAGTAAAAGCCTTCATGGGGGACCTTAAAAGTAGCAATGAACAGATGTCTGCTTTCAGTCTTTGTGTGTCCCTGCATTAGCTTTCTTGGACGTGCCTCTTCTTACATGTCTTGAGGTGGGCATCCTTTTTTGGTTTGGAGCTTACAGTTACCTGAGTATTTTAAGTTGTCTCAGATGGACCACAACATTTGTTAAATTCTTTATAATACCTCGGTTAGACTGCAGACTAGCAGAAAGCACTTATTGGCCACAAGAAGAGTGTAATTCCAACTTTCTACGCTGCATTCTTGCCGTGTCTGAGAGGAACGCTGGGTATCCTCCAGCAGATAGCTAATCTCACTGGCCTTTGAGTCCTGGGCAAGCTTAGGAGAAAATGCCTGTCGATTGGAACAGTCGGCCTCCTCCATTGGCCTGTAGCTGATGGAAAAGCAATTAAGCCTGCTTGAGTTTCCTGCCTTTTTAGAAAAAAGGCTTTCCCTGTGTCTGTTTGCCTTTCTTTTCTGGTGTTCAGGTTGGTGCAGTCCAAAGCTATGTTTGATGTACTTTGTGGTTCACCAGACTGGTACTATCCACCTCTCTGAGGAGCTCACAGATGGGAGTAACTCTAGTTCTGGGACAACCGATGTCACCAGCCAGTCTGCTGCTAGTGGGCAGTGTGTCAGAGATGCTTCGGGTTGTTATGTGTTTTTCTCCATGTTGTTGGATGTAGCTTTTTCTAGTCTGTCTTCTGATTTAAAGTAGTTTTCCGTTCAGTAATTCAACCTGCTCTCAGAAAAAGACCAATTTCCCTATCCTCCTACACTTACCTAGAAATCTGTCCAGTGGCCTAAACAAGGTTTCTTTTGACTTTTTTTCCTCCTTTTCCCACACTTGCAATAGGCATAGATTTAAAGCCTCACATATAGAGGTGTTCGTCTGGATTGTTGCAGTTTTGCAGACTGCATATCCAAGTTGCACAGTTAAAGGTTAGATGTTGTGAGAGATGCATGCTTAGCATTGGCAACTTCGATCAAGTATTTGAGATACAGCACGTGGTTTGGTGAAAATGAGGTACAGAAAGCTGAATTGTGGAGGAACCACGTCGTCCTTCCTTCCTTCCTTCTAGAAATCCTGAGCTCGCTGTGAATAGGCGGATTCTCCAGTAGGAGGTATTTTCAAGCAGTTACGATAGATGAGTTAAATGGTTTGGGTAATTCTAGATTTGACGTTGTTTTCCCTTGGGTCCAGGCACGTTTCAAGTGTCAGCTTTCAATTAGAAATTCTGAGTTCCTGTATTTTTGTCTGTAGCAAAGTTTAGGTGTTTTCTGAGATCTAAATCTGGTCTTCAGCGAGCTCTCTAGCATTCCTAATGCGCGTTTCAGTGTTTTCTCTCCTTGTGTGTGCCTGCTTTGATCACTGACCTCTGCCCAGGTATTCAGATAACACGGCAATGGACAGTAGTGAGCCCAGAGTGATGGTAGTCACTAATTCCAAGCACTGATGCTTGTGTGTTTGATGCCCTTCCGTAAAGGTCATACTGATCCTTCTTTCTACCTGCTATCTGCACATTCACAGCCCTCTCTTTCTGGGGTTGCATCTCTTTCATCGTATCCAGTTTATCTGTCTACTTGTTTTCTGAGACAATGGTTGCAGCAACAAAAATACTGTGGCAACGGTGCTGCGGTTGGATGAAAATTAAAATGCAATTCCTCTTTTGGAAAACCAGATTCTGATGAAATTTCCCCAAGTGCAATGAAACCCAGAGAGAAATTTTTTGGTTCTCATCTATACAGAACTTGTCACTGAAAAAATCTCTCAGTGTTTTTGAGGCTAACAGCAGGACTTTGTACCTTTTTAGGAATTTGTACATTAGGCAAGGTGCCAGCAACCAGCAGTGTTTTTCCCACCATGCTATCTAAACTTGCTCAGAGCAGGCTGATACAGTGCAGCGGTTCAAAGAGGAATAGCTGCTCGGAGCCTGGGCTGTTTTAGTGCCCTTGCGCTACTGCATTTGGAAGGACTGCTAGTGACAATGGGAAGGTTTTTCAGCTTCAAAACAAGTGGAAAAATTAAAAGCCTTCCTGTAAATACTCTTTACAGAAAGGTCTTTCCCACTGGTTATTTTTCTTGCTGCTCTTAGATAGGAACTGTTTTCTACAAGCTTCATGTCTGTGACAGCTTGGACCTGCCTGCCTCCAGTGTGTCACTGAGATTTTTAAGAGCTATAGACAGCTCAAGGTATGGCCATCTTCCTTTCAGTGTCCAACCTAGATCATGGGTACTTTGCAAGCGTTTACTTGACCGAGAGCGCTGACACCAGGGCCAAAGTTGCTGTTTCTTTTGGGGTCTCTCTGGCTATGCCCAGGTAGATGGGCTCATCTGTCCCTTCACCGTCAGCAAGGTGTGAGTCAGCTTGCAGCAAAGCAAACCCAGCTCTCCGTTCCCAGGCACGCAGATGTATCCTGTGAAAGACAGCTCGACGGTAGAGTAATAAACACGATGAGAGGCTCAGGAGAACTTTCCAAACTCTGCTTTCTCTGCAAAGCCGTGGTCCGCATTCTTCTTTATTGCTGGTTTCTAAAGAGTTTTTGAAGGACAAGGAAGGTCCTTTCATGTTTCTTTAGACCTGTGTTCTTAACACAAAGATATTTTGTTCTCTGCTTCTTGTAGAAGTGATTGCCTTTCACTGTCCTTTTCTTGATCTATACAGTCTAGCTCCGAACTCTAGGTGTGTGTTTTCCAGCTGGTAGATTAGGGTGAACCCCAATTTACTGACAAATAGCAATTTTTTTCCCCAGATTGAACAAAAGGACGTATTTTAAAAGCTTATGTTCTTCACAACCATCTTCAGTATCACTGAAATCATTCTTTTGTTCTGGATCTCCAGAAGCATTAAAGATGAGCTATAGCTAAGTATGAAATGTATATTGGAAATATGCATATTTGATTTTTTTGTGGGTGAAAAACAGGCATTAGTCTTGACTTCTCTTCTGTACTCTTAGCAATAAGCAAAAATTTCACTGCTTTCATCCTGTTTCTCATTTGAGTGGGGACTTGAGTCCAGGAGGGTGGGATAACAGGGTGGTAAAAAGCCAAGGGAAGTGCCAGTTTATTCACAAGACTTCTTGGCCCCTTTCGACCACTCCAAAACCAGAATAACAAAGCAAAGAAGTGGGAAGTAGGGAAATGCAGTCCTTAGCATAGGCGTTTGTAATCTATATAATAGC